GCCTCCCCGGGGCCGGGGCCCTGGGCTGCCCGCACCCTGCCAGCACCGGTGCCATCGCTCCAGGTGACCCGTCCCCCAGCCACGTACCTGCCCTGTGTGCAGGCAGCACTGCCCGTTCACCCTGCAGCTTCCCAAGGGATGGACCTGCAGGCTTCCAGCTCTGCTGGCCTCGCCAGCCACCCCCGTACCCCCTGCCCAGAGGCAGCCCCCACCTCTGCAGCGAGCGCATGTTTGCTCAGGCACTTGATGACTCTTCATTTCAGCAGGTGCTGCAGGTAGCACAGGGAGGGCTAGGAGATGCCTTCCCTGCTTCGAGTCTTGTTTCTCCCTTCCCTGACTTAATTGGCTCATTAAGTGCCAATTTGACCTCCCCACTTTCAGATGTCTCCAGTCTCCACTGGTAAATAGATTTGTGTGTCCCCAGCGGAAACCTCTTTGAGCTGAGCCTGATGCTGGAGCAGGCGGCTGCACAGCAAGCGAGGACAATGCTCAGCCCCGCCGCGAGCGTGGCCCTGCTGCTGCCAAGCTGAAGCCAAGCAAGTGCTGAACGGGAACAAAACTCCCTCCCGAAAGACACGGGGAGCTGCGCCGCAGTTGCCGGCACCGTGCCCATGGCACGGCGGGGATGCACAGAGCAGGAGGTGACCCTGCGCTCCGGTTGTGGCTTTGTCATTGCCTTGATGTGGGACTGCAGCAAGTCCCTTCCCATCTGCTCCCTGCCGTTGCCTCGGAGCCAGGATGTGTGCGAGTGTGTGCGTGGGCATGGAGCACAGCACAGCAGGGCCACGGCTGCAGGGTGGTGGCTGCTGGCTCTTCTGAGAGCCAACATTTAGCTGATGCTCTCAAGCATCCTCCGTACCCAGACGCTCATCCAACCTCCCGGCACCCCAGGGATGGAGTGGGACCTGCCTGGGGTTGTTTTATGCCAGATGAAGGTTTGCCAGCTGGGCGCTGCTGGGTGTCATTGGCAGCCTGGAGATGTCCCCGTGGCCAAGAGCACTGCTCAGCCTCCTGCCCAACCAAGGCACGAAGACAAACAGGCAGCCAAGCTGCTTGCCTGGATGGATAGCAGAGTGCTGGACTGCTCCATTCGGGAAACACCTTGATCGGTGCTGTAAGAGCATCCCAGGAGTTCAGCCCTGTCCCTTTGCGCCAGGAAGACAGGGGACCAATCCTGCATTTCCTCCTTGCTCGCATTGGTGCAGCAGAGAGGAGGTGACAGCACACCACGGAAGGCTCCCCTCTGCCCAGCACAAGGGAATGTCTCCTGGTGTCACCAGAGGACTGAAACTAGAAGGATACCAAGCATCTCCAAGGACGGGTTTTAGGCTGAGTAGCGAGATCCTCCACCCCAGGGCCATCTCCTCACCCTCCCATCGCCAGCCCCAGGGCCCCGAGGGGACGGGAAGGGGACGGGAGAGGACGTACGGTTCGACTTTGTTGAAGAAGCGACGCCGCAGCATCATGACCAACGTGCCGAGGAGCAGGAGGGTGGTGCACATGGCGCTTCCTCCATCACCACGCAGCGCTGCCGACCCCTCACGTCCCCCCCGGCAGCACCGCTCGGCCCAGGGCTGTCCCCCGTGCCGGGCTGGCCTGTCACCCTGCCTGGTGGGCACCTCTCCCCAGCAGCAACCTGAAGGCTCTCAGGACTGGTGTTAGGAGGAATTAGGGCAGGATCAGATGTAATTAAGAGGCAACAAATGAGGACGTTCTCCTCTGACCTTTGGATGGGAGTGAGCCGAGCGGCTGGTCCGTGGCCCCTTGAGCACTTAATTGGTTTTGGCATGCAATGCTCCCGCCCTAGCTGGCCCCCAGCCCAGCACCTCGGCCAGGCGGATGCTGAGGGTGACGTGCGGTGGACCAAGCCTATTCCCACCCCATGCACCCCATGGCTCCCCCATTCCGCCTTCCTGCCCCCACCAGCCCCATCACCCCCAGGGCTGGGTGCTCCCCTCTGCTCCCCTTTTTCCCGTGTGCCTCCCTCCCCTCTTTGCCCACCTTCCCCCCTCTCCTGCCTTTCCCTCCAGCTCCTGTACCCCTCCTCCTGCCAGACCTGTCTCAACCCGCTCCCCCCTTCCCTGTTCCGGTAATCTGACAGGCTCAGACCTGCCTGTAA